GGGTGTCGCCCCTGACCGCCGGCTTTGGGGCAGCCACGCGACACTGAGCGCATGGGGAAAACCTTGCACCTGTGCCTGTTTGGGCTTTTCCATGGGGCCAACGGGAAAGACCGCGCGCCCTCGAGGGTGTTGCTGCCCAAGCGCCTTGTTCCGGCCCCCTTTCCTCGGACGCTGCGTGGCCTCGCTCGGGCGCTGGGGCAGCCCTTCCCTCCCCTGCCGGTCGCCTCATGCCTGGCCCTCAAAGGGCACGCTCGACTGCTGGGCTGGCGCCCGGCAGGCTGCAAGCGTTTCGGTAATTATCCCTCCAATCAATTGGAGAGCAGGGCCGAAGCAAGGCTGGGAGAGGATCATCAGGCCACAGGACGTGTTTGGGTCAGGGAAGGAGGCCTCCCAGGAGGGTGTCCGAGCCGAGCGGTTGCAGCACGTGTCCGGGAAGGGCGCAGCCCCGTGATGCCAGGGCAGATGCCCGTTTGCTCATGCTTTGACCCATGGTCAAAGAGCAGCGCAGGCGCCTCGTTGCTGTTGTGCCAGCCGAGCGTGGCCACGCAGCTTCTGAGGTCTTCTGCCACGTGACAGGTTGCTGCATGTTGGCTGTTTTAATGCCAGGCTTTATGCAAATTGCTTATGTTCCCACCCCTGAGGGAGGGAGGCAGTAACAAACCAGTAGGGGTAAAAAATCCACCCAAACCTTCAGAAATGGCAGGAGCTAATGAAACTGCAGCTCTGTGGGGACTGGGAAGAGTGGCCCATCCACCCGCACACCCCCAGCACCTGGGATAGTCCTAAAACAGCTCTGAGCCGATATAGGGACTACCAGTGAGAGCGAGCTGGTCTCTGCCCAAAAAAGCCATATGCTTGGTAAAAGCTGAGCCGTTGCCTTTTGGTTGTGTCTCAGTTGGGTCCTGTCTTGCCTCTGATCCCCCCCACCACCCCCTCATGCACCAGCGCTCATGAGAAGGCGGATTTGGACAAGAGGTGGTGGCACATTAACAGCTATTTTCCTTAGCAGAGCAGGACTGGGTGGCAGAGGCAAAGCAGCAGCCCACAGCCACTCGTGTTTCTGCCTGCCCCGGCCAGGTCCGTCCTGCCGTGGTGCCGGCACGGCACTCCCACAGCTTGGTGCCTCAGGAAAACCTCCCTACAAAGGCCAAAAATAGCTTTTTCGCATCCTGGAGAGATGCTCAGTGCCCAGTCTGCAGGGTTCATGAAGGTGAACCTGCTGGGTTCCCGCGCTCCCTCTCCTCGTGACCTACTTTGGGGGCGGCGGCGGGGCGGTGCGAGCCGAGCACGCCACCGGGTTTCTCAGCCGCCCCACGTTACCTGACCCATGAGAGAGATGCTCCGGAGATGAATCATGCCTCGCGATGAGTCGACGTTTACCCGGAAGGAGGTTTCGGGCTGAAAGATAACATCATCGTACTGGCACGGGACGCGCTCCTCATCCACAGCGAAGATGCGTGCGCCCTGCTGCAGCTCCCCCAGCGAGGAGGTGGTCTGCCACAGCGCGGGGTCGAACCACGCGAACCCGTCGGCGTCCCTGAACCTGGCGGCCGAGCCTGCCAAGAGCAACAAGAGACGTCAAGAGCAGCACTTGCTCAGCAGCACTGCACAGCACCCATCTCGTACCCCATCCGTCCCCAACAGCTGAATTTTTACCAATTCAGTTATCATATGACCTTTTACCGACCGGATTGCTTATATTTGTATCCATCTAATTTATTTTTTTAAAAATCCACTTGTGGAAGGCGCCTGTTGATTTCACAGGAGCGGCCACGGGTGAGAAGCTAAAGTCTCGTGCAAAGGGGAGAGGGCTTCCCAAGCACGTCCAAAACAGGTCAAGCAGCTGCAGTGGAGGAAAATGATAGTAATGGAGGGTTTTGGGAGTGACTCTGAGCAGCCAGTGGCTGCAGTCCCTCCTCCGGATAGACCCACTGGTGCCTTTACTTTCTGTGCACTGTCCCCTCCGATTTCCCAGGCGTTTTTGCCAGTGGGCAGAGACAACCAGCATTTGTCCTCAACGTCATTCAAAGATGCCCGTCGGAGCCCCAGTGCACATACTGTGCTTTCTCACACTTCGCTTTGGTTCTGGTTGTTTTTCTGCAGCTGAACTAAGAAGCTGCTTGCCACTGAAAGTATTACTTCTCTCTTAAATACCAAAAATACCTCTCCCTAGCAAACAGCTTTCAGACTAATAACAGGCACTGATAAAACAAAACTGCTACCTCGGTCATTGCAAATCTCAGTTTGAGACTAACGGGAGGTTGAATGATGTGTTAGCGCTGAAATGCCTTTACGCAAATACTAGCTGGGCCAAAGGCCAACTCTCAGAAATGGCTGTGGTTCAGCTCTCTGAGGCCTGGGTGTGCAATTCATAACCAGTTTTCTTTAGAAATATGATGGCAAAGAAAACGAGGACTTTGATGTGGCTACATGCTTAATAGACAGGGTAAAAGACAAACAATATTTACCTCTCTGCTATGACTTCAAAGACTTCCTTGGTATAATTATTTTTTTAGAAGGCAGGTGATCTAGCAGAAAAAAAGATCTCATGCAAAGGAGGTCCTCAGAGAAAAGGTAGATATTAAAAGAGGAGTGATTCAGTTTATTCTGAGGTGGGCTGGCAAAGACCTTTGTAGAAGCATTTTTGCTGAATTTGCATGATTAAGGGCTGACTGGGTAACTAGTTTGGGCACAAAAAATACCTGAGTCACATCCTGGATCCCAGCTGCTGTCAAAAGCTGCAAATCCTGCACCAGATGCCAGGATGAGTTCTCCATTCAGTGGAAGGTACTAAACAAAGGGATTCAAAACATCACTGTGCGGCCCCGCTGCCAGCCACCCAGGCTCGTAATCAAATAACGATGGTAATTATCAAAATGTCTATTATCCTCGCTGTCTCCCGGCACTTTACAATCGTTAGGAATTACCCTCACTGTGCCCTGCATAATGGGAAAGCATCATCTCCATTTTTACAGAGGGGGACGCTGTGATGGGGAAAGGCAGTTTCGCTTTATCTTCCAGCAACACAAAAACATGAAGCCTTTAGGGAAGCAAGAGCAAGGGAAAACAAAAATAAAGCCTTTCAACAACTTCTTAGTTTGTACATCATGCAAAACCTAATTCTCAGTCTGCAAGCCTGCCGAGCTGCAGGAGGGTGCTGGGCCTCGGGGGAAGGTGCCCAGCCCTCACTGCAGGGCTGCTCCCATCGAGCCTCCTGATGCCGGAGGGACGGTTTCCCGGCCTCCCGGGACCCTCCTGACCCTGGATGCTAGCAGGGGGAGAGCCAGGCCACCTCCACCCCCCTGGGCAATGCTGGGGTTGAGGCTGCTCCACTTGCACTTTGCTAGCATAGACCAACATGAGTGTGTTTATTAAATGATGGGCCCATATAAATCTGCCCTAGCTTGGCTCATTGACACTTGGAAATATCTTTTACTGAGGATACCACCATGCAGTTCAGCATGTCTCACTGTGTTGACGTCTGCCCGCCACATCCTGCACACCAGACGATTAAGAAAAAATGCACCGGGTCAAACAAAGCTTGACGAAGTGTCAACTAGTGAATTGGCACTTGGAGCAAACGAAGGAAAACACACAGTAGCATTTAACTAGCTGTGCTGCCCATAGCTAGAGCCGCTCTGTAAGACGTCACCGCCAGGTATGTAAAGGTTGCCACGTCTACCTGGATTGAGCCAGGCAAGGCATCTGCTCGTGGCCATGCGGGCAAACCCTGCTTGAAGAGCTGCAGCCGGCCAGGTCGGCAGCTGGCACTGCCGACTCCAGGACACGTTTTAGCAAACAACCGAGTCAGGCAACTCATTCATAGCACATGGCTTATTCAGCCCAGCTCATCTTATTTTCCATTTACAGATTACTCAAGAAAAAGTTGGGTTTTCCCCCAGTATTTTCATGTGTCAAGGAGTGAGTAATGTTCAAGGCTTGATTCTCTTCTAACTCAGTCTATCCAAGGTTTTTTTAGCATCACTCCAGACAGTAGCTGGAAGCCCTCCAAGACTGCGTTATGCCCACACATGGGGTCCTATGGGCAGGAAGAAGAGTGTTAGGTCGGATTTTAAGGTTTCATCTACCTGCTCAGTCTTTAAATTGCATGTAGATAAGCAAGACTTACTTAAAGAATGACTGTCACACACGGGTTGTGACATCTCTCTGTTCTTGGGGTAGTCTTGCCTGAGGATGCTCCAGTCCATACAGGGGCTGTCCATTGAGGCAAAAAGCTCCTCATGCCCAAGCTGCAGGCGACTGTTTCATATGTTTTGTGCCTTGGTGTTGCAGCGCTTTGAAGTCCATAGCCCAGACTGTCCTCTTGCTTCAGAAACTATGAGAAGCCAGGGCAAAGAGCAGAGGGCAGCTGCCACTGGGAAGAGCTCACAGTGTTCCTATATGACACCTGTCTCAGATCCAGCAGCAATGCATATTGCTCTGGTCTAGACAAAAGGCGATGAGGAGGAGAACAAGTGAGGCCCGGGGACCATCTGCCCCGAGAGAACAGAGTCTCCCCACCAATCGGAGATGAAAGAAGCCTTCATCTATGGATGCTGCCATCTGAGAGCTTTCCTAACTGGAAACCACACCATCATATTTGCCAAAATTTCTGTTATTTCTCTTGAGTAAGGAAAATTTTTCCAAGACTGAAGCATTGAAATAGGCTGAAAGGTCTGGTAGGTTAAGAATGTCAACGTGCTCTTTATCTACAGATATAAAAGTCATATCTAGTGACATTATGAGGCTCAGGACCTCGCCTGCTTTGAGCCAGGCAAGATCTATGCTACCGGTTTCATTTACAAGGCGCTTCATTTCAAAGATGCTCTAGCTTGTGTTCTTCTGAGCCTACCCAGGAATGGGCAGCTGGACACTTTGTGGCAGCCAACTAATGCCAAGTATCCAGGGCAGGTAGGATCAGCACTGCCAGTCGGCTAGGCAGACCCTTTCTCCCAGCGCTTGCTTGGCCATTTCAAGCAGCAGCAGCGCCAGACCCCCCACGCTGTCTCTTGTACCAGCCATTGAGATCGGACGCTCAGTCTGCCTGGCCGAGTTTGCGGTGCATTGCTGTGCCTAGCAGGAAGGGTAGCCAGTTAGCTGCAGGCTGGTGGGTACCAGCTGAGCTGTTCAAGATGAGTTTTTTGATTGGATGTATTTGATATTTTTGCTAACACAGAATACCAGATCTTCACAGCAGCCAACTCTGGGCACTCAGGTCCATAGTTGAAGAGGTCTTTGTGAGACAGGAAGAACAAGCAGACAGCAGCTGCTGGTGTCAGGGATGAGTGACACACCAGGTCCATGACTAGCTGGCCCTGCTACCTTTTCCCAGCCTTTGGGAGTCGGTATTCATGAGTGCTGTGGCTGGATCAAGACCACCGGGTTGATAAGTCCCTGCCCTGATCTCTGCCTGGACGAGATATTTTTCCCCAGTAGGTTTACTGAATACCTTGACTGTGGTTGCAGATCTGAGCTTCCCAAACACCCTGAGGTGGTCATAAGGGATGCAATGAGCTTTCCTGTCCAGAAGGTTGTTTGTTCAGAGCTTAAAAAATTAACTAGGGAGGAAAAAAGCCACAGAGACAACACTTAGACAAACAGGTACCTGTGTTTGTAAGCTGCATCACTAACCCTTCTCCAGGGAGCAACAGAAGAGCACTTTGTGCACGCATTATAAGCAAGGAAAAAACAGTACGGATTCATGTTGGCCCACATATAGCTTAGAAAGAGAGCATAGCGATTTGGCTGAGTTCAGTGTGGGGAGAGCGGAGGTAAGGCAGGCTCTGTTGATTAAAGATACACACACAGACACAAATGCACAAAATATGCAAAAGCCAGTCCATTGACCAGCCACCTACTCCTGTGCCTGTGAGGGACTAGACGTGAAACTGCTGTAGAGAGAGACCTGACTGGGATCAGAGCGGACGAAGGGTTAGCAGCATGCATGCCACATACATGGCACCAATCATTGCCAGTGGGGAGAGGTGGAAGAAAAGGTCTCTCAGCCTCTCCCTGAATCTGCCCCACGTCTTCAACACTGGTGCTGCCAGCTTGCTGGGCTCTGGAGCCACTGCCTGGAGAAGGTGTAGCTTCTTCAGCTAATGCTGTAGATCCCCCTCCGCCTACAACCTAGGCTGGCTGGAGTTTTCAAACCCAAAGAAAGATGTCCACTTTCTCCCCCCTCCTAATGCAAGTGTGGTGGGAAAAGGAGAGTCCCGCAGCACACACACTGTCCCCACCAGTTCATGTTGGGCTCCAGACCAGATACACAGGACAGGGACTGCCCCAAACCCATGTGCACACCAGCCCCAGAACTAAAACTGCAAGTGTATAAGCTGGCATAAGAACTCACTGAATCTTCAGAAGATAAAATGCAACAAGACCTCTGCAGGAGCTTCTGAGGAAGGCCTCCCCCGTGCCAGCATCCACAGCTAAACTCCCAGCCCACAGAGACACACTTATTTTGCATTCACCGCCAGTCCCCCCAGGCAGGCAGTGGTATCGCTTACTGGTTTGAAATGGAGCTGAACAAGTTCTCCCCAAGATGCATGCCACTGGCCAGCATTTCTGCAGTGGCTCAGTTGTCCAGTGGGTATTAGCCTGTAAATAATTTGCACTGGCATTTTTTTCTTAACGTAGCAGAGCGTTAAGCACCTCGGCTCACTGCAGAGGACAAATGGAGACTCTGGTTGGGAAAGTGGCTTTTGCAATTGATAGTTTAGTACAGAAATCACATATAGGCTGGGACACTTTCCAAGAACATTTTGAACTGAGCAATGACATGTACCAAAGGACCAGAGCCAAAAAGCTGGCAGTTTCATCTGCTTTCTCTTGCTCCTGCCAACCTGTATTCCAGGGTCATTAATACGGTGAGCTACTTAGAGTCCCATTAGTCATATCCCATCCCTGATACTGGTAAATGACTTATCTCCTCGGTCTCCATTAGCAAATGTAATGACAACTGAAACACGGTCACAATTTTTCCCATCAAAGCCAGGGAAAAAAAGGAAAGACCACACGTGGATCTCAGCCCAGAGTCACCACGCCGGCAGCCGCTTGCACAGCGCTGCGCTGCGCACCAACGGGACGCCCAAAGAAGTCCCGAGACGTTCATAAGCGAAAATGAAATAAATTATGAGCAAGTTATCGGCATC